ATCTAGTAATTGTAGTCTGTAATTAGTAACACAAGATAGACTTCTACTTATACTTTACGTTAGGTTTGCAGAGGCAAGGCTTAGATAGTAAGCTTAACTACTTCTTGCCTAACTTAGTAGAAGTAGAAAGTTAACCTACAATAGCGTTAAAGATCGTGTTAGCTTTTCTCTTTCTAGTAGTAATTAACATCTTCTAGAGAACAACGCTAAATACCTTACTAAGATTGTTAAGGCTTAACGTGTTCTTTCTAAGAGCTATAGCAAATAATTAATTATATTGCTACTAGCGGGCCTACTTAGAGTTAAACTTCTTAACTATAGTAAGAAAGTTAGTAATTGCAAGAAGTCTTTTAACCTCTAAGAGCTTAAAGATCTTTACCTTCTAGTAGAGTATTAACTAGTTGTTAAACTACTTCTTAGTAGTTTCTCTCTAGGTCTTCTTAAGATAAGCGTAATACTTCGCGCAAACTATATATTACATAGTCTAATTAGTAGAAGCAAGTATAGTCTTAAAAGTCTTTACAAGAGACTAGACTATTCTTCTATTATTACTTATAGTTATAAGTAATAGGTAATCTAGCGCAACAGTGCGTATAATCTAGGTCTTAACATTATTAATCTTCTCGCTCTTTCTTAACTACTACTTAGACTTATAGTTCTAGCAGGCTATAAGCATAGTACTATTCTTAGTCTTGTAATTGTAATCTTGCAAGAGAGTATTATACTTGTAGGTAGCTTTGTTATACTTATTCTTTTAATTCTTAGTTAGCTCTGTAGAGAGAAGAGCTAGAGCTATAGGCTCTAGAACTAGAAGGTTAGAGAACTTAGGCTCTAGAGTATCTATATATTTAATATCTAGGAGATTAGAATTAATCTCTTTCTAGATACTCTTCTTGTTGTAGTGTTACTTAAGAAGCGCGAACTAGGTGTTCTAGTTAGATTACTTCTTAAGAAGCACACCTATAGCTACAATAGCTATATTGCAATTACTTATATCTATAGAGTTAGAGCGTAGAATTAATGCAGTAATGTAGAGAGGTAGGCAGCAAGTAAGTAATTGCGTAGAAGAGGTTCTAATCGCAGAACGTTTAGAGAGAGTAGAGTAGAAACAAGATTAACTAATCTATCTTCTAGCAAGCTTTAATACGTAGTAGGAATTAGTTCTATAATTAAGCAGCTAGACTTATAACTGTTAGAGCTAGAGACAATTAATAATTAGAGATAAATAAGTATATTATAATTAATCTACTACAAAAGAAAGTTAGAATAAAATCTCTAGCTATATACCTAAGAGCTAAGCGATTACGTGTCTGCGATTAAGCAATTACAACTACTCTCTAACTTCGACATATATATAGAATAAAGTCTACGTCTCTACTAGTGTTATGTAAACCTAAGTTATTAAATAAGCTTATTATAGCGTATATAGTAGTTATAGTAGTAAATATAAACTCTACTCTAAGCTATTATAATAGTACTACTAGCTATATATAACTATAAACGTTGCGTAATATATACGCGCTTACCTAATATATAAGAGAAGTAAGGCCTATAGAGAAGGTAAACATAGATTACTTTACCTACTACTAGTTTCTAATAAGTACTAGTTATGTATTTTTATAGATTTTATTATCTACTTACTACTATATAAATATAATAGCTAGACCTTTATAGATATTCTTATTATTATTAATTAACTTACTAAGAAGAAGAAGTTTATTCTAATAGTAAGTATAACTACTAACACTCTTATTATTACTTTTATTAAGTATATCTAGCGCAAGAAAAGCTTCTCTAAAGAGATTATCTTAGACTAAGACTTATAGTTTATTTCTTATTTCTAGAAATACCTCTACTAGTAACTAGGCGTCTAACTAAAGTTCTCTACTACTTACTACTTATAAATAGATAGTTAGACTAAGAATATAAACTCTTATCTTAAATAGTACCTTAGGTTCTATATTAACTATAAGTAAAATAACTAAGTACTATTTCTACTAATAGCTAAGTTTAAAGTAAATTCTAGCGTTAGCTCTACTATAGGTAAGTTACCTTTCTTTATAACTAAAGGCTACTACTCTTATAGAAGTATTAAGCTTATAGCTCTAGCTCTAGTAATAATATTAATAGCGCCTACTTAACAAGAACGTCTTAATGCTAATATCTTTACTAATTAGATAAAGATACTCTAGAATAAGTTGCAGCTCTTTATAAGGTAGGCTTAGACTAAGTAAACTAAATACACTAATAAAGAAAGGCTCTCTACTTCTATATTTAAAGTTAGTAACTAAGTAATACTTAATACGCGTAACTTAAGAACGCGCTATCTTTCTACTTTACTAGATTTAAAGAACTATAGTTTCTTTACTATTATATAAGCTATTAATAATACTATGTATAAACTTAATCTACTAGCTTATATAAAGTACATCTATAACGTCTTCTATCTATAGTTATTATACTTAGTTAAAGGTAACCTACTTTCTAGTTAGACTTAGAACTCTAAGGTTTCTGCTAAGTTTAATCTAGAGGTTAAAGATAATACAGAGTATATAGTTAAAGTAATTAAAGACTATTACATTAATATAAAGCTTAAGAACTCTACTACCTACTCTTATAAAGAGAAGAAATACTCTAGACTTCTTTAGTATTTAGTCTAGTAGTTAAACTACTCTAAGAGTTCTAATAACTCTTTCTAGAAACTATATATAAACTTAGTTAACTCTACTAATACTATAATCTAGTATTACTATAATTACTCTAATAAGCCTACTATGCACAAGAAGTTTAACTCTCTTACTAGTAAATAGAATATACTAGTTATATAACTTTACGCCTTTAACTATACTTAGTTAATAGTTACCTAATAACTAGTAGTTATAATAACATTATTAGAGTTATTCTACTTATAATACTCTTAGTTAACTTAGTAACTCTATTATAAGTTAAGACATAAATAATTACTAAAAGTTCTATAGTAATAATAGCTAATAGAAATAATAGTAAGACTAGAATAATTAGTTATACTTACAATAATTAAGAGTGTTAGCTAAGTTATACCTTTACAAGAGACTTACTAACACTGTACTTATAGTAAGAACTAGTTATTAAGTTACTACTATTATAACTAGACGCTAACGTTACTATACTACTAGTAATATAAGCTTACTATATAGAAATAGATCTAAGTCTACACGCGCGCGCGCTTACGCATATATAATACTCTAATATAATAATATACCTAGCTAATATAAGCGTACACGTATAATAATAGATATATAATATACGTAATTAAGGCTATAATTAGTATATAAATATATTAAAGAAATGTAGTAATAGAATAGAAGAATATAGTAAGTAATATATTTAGCCTATAGTAGCTTTTGCAAAGTAGGTAAGTTATTATATATATAGTTTTATTATTTTCTTTATTCTTTAGACAAAAGTAGTTTAAGTATTAGAACTTACTCTCTTTTTAGAGAAAAGTAGTATTATAGATTAAACTTATAACCTTTACTTACTAAGGCGCTAGTAGATAGTTTATGCGCTAAATATTAAAGTTTAGCCTATATAGCTCTCTCTAACTTGTACATAATATCTTACTTAGTACTTAACTTAATATAATTATCTTATCTATTAACGTCTCTTATATTAGTAAAAGTATTATTTTAGTATAATAAACTTTTACTTTTATAAAATACTTAGAAATTTAGTCTTTTATATATACTATATACTTATAATAGTTTAAAAAATTTAAATAATACTTTAGAGTTTTTTTAAAAACTTTAAAATTAAGTTTTTTAGCTAATTAATTTTAAGTAAGTACTTTAGTATTTTACTTAATATTTTAAAAAAATTTATTAGCTTTTTAAATTTAATTTAAAGTTAGAAAAAACTTTTTTTTTTAAGCTTAAATTTATAGTTATAATACTTTTAGCTACTTTTTAGTTTATTTTTTTTTAATATAGTTTATTTTAAGTATTTTTTAACTTTAAAAGAGTTAAAAAAGTTACTATAAAAGTATAGTATTTTTTTTATATTTATATACTTAAAAGTACTTTTTATTTTAGCTTTTTTTAAAGTATCTTAGTTCTATATTATACTTCTAGATATAGTAAAAAAAATATAAAAAAAAATTAAAAGTTATTTACGTAGTTATAAAGTTAGAGAAAAGTAGAAAGTAAGAAATAGTTTAGATAATTTATTTAGGTAAGGTATAGGGCTTCTAAGTTAGCTCTTTTTTATCTGCCGCGTAATAGTTAACGTCTAGGCGGAGCAGAAATTAGATAGATAGCGACTTTAGCATGTGTGCCAGCGATCTAGATAGTCGGACAACGAGAAGAATGATCAGAATGCAACGGTCTTTAGGATAATCTCCACCGGTGCAGTCGCGAACTAGGAACATTATGATTGCTGACAGTGACGTAAGCTGAGATGGAATGCGGGGGGTGTTCGGCCGAAGCGGTTAGCCTCGGCATCGGGGATGATGGCCGCCCCGAAGGCATCTTCGTAACAACGCGACTTGTCCCCTTACGCCTTGTTTTGACCCACTGTGATACTACCACTCGAAATGAGCGCGGATGGTCAGACGCCGAGAGTGGTACCTCCAAGTCGACGAAGAGACAAGCCCGTCTTAAGTTGCACCCTTTGTCGACGACGCAAGTAAACAATCACCTTACCTGCCCAAAAGAATTGCATGCTAACTGACTGGAGGTTGAAATGTGATCGACAGCAGCCATGCAAAACATGTGTCGATCGCGGACTCTCGCTGTCGTGCGTCTATGTTCGCAACCCACCAGTGCATAAGGAACCCAAAATCCCAACCAGCGTCCATGACAGGATTGACCAACTCGAGAAGCTCGTCACCAATCTCATCGGTGGAAATGCGGTTGATACAGCTAATCCCGCGCTATCTAGCCCATCACAAGTGCGGCTACATCATAACGGAGGAAACAATGGTGACTTGCCTGGCACGCCGGATCGCGTAAATCTCAGCTGCGATGCAACAAGCTATACGAACAGTGGACATTGGACAAGCATACTTGATAGCGTACGTGAAACCTCTCACAGAGACTCTTACCTCTCTAATATCAGCCCAGATATCTGAGCTGCGCGAACATCTCGACCAGGTGCCCGTATCGCCCGACCCGGATGACGAAGTGATGAATGGAGTACCCGGTCCGGAGCTGCTGTTTGGACGTAATCTCCATGCGACTAGAGAAGAGTTGCTCGCCGCTCTTCCTCCACGGCCGGAAGCAGATCGACTCATTGATACATTCTTCATATCAATGGAATCTCATCCAAGTATGTTCACTACCTCGATTGAAGAGCGCCCACTGATATCTCCAGCCCTCATCCACAAGCCAACCTTTCTCAAACAGGTGAGATAATATGATTATTTCTACCTCAGGTAGCTAATAGTCATACAGTACAATGAGCTGTGGACACAACCATTCGAAACTTCAACTATGTGGTTGGGTGTTCTCTACGCTGCACTGGCACTTGGCTTTCGTTTCCAAGCCGGGGTGAACGCTCATCAACCTGACGATACTAGACTGGCTCCTGATCTGGTGCAAATCGGCTTTTATCGCGAGAAGGCTGCGCAATGTAAGTAGGAACTGAGTACAAACTACATGTGACGCAACTGCTAAGTCCGTACGTCAATATCTAGGTATGATTCTTGCAAACTATACCAAAACACCGCCATACACGATCGAAGCGTTCTTGTTGTATTTTGGCACCGAATTTCTACGCTCAAGCGATAGCCAGTTCAGCATCTACATGCTTGTTGGCATGCTTGTACGTCTTTGTTTCCGAATGGGATACCACAGAGATCCGTCGAGATTTCCGAACGTCTCGCCTCACGAAGGTGAGCTGAGACGTCGTAAATGGCTCGTAGTCATGTCGCTAGATTTTACCACCTCTTCTCAAGCCGGACTGCCACGGACGATCATGCCGTCTACGTACGACACTCAAGAGCCTCGCAATTTAAGTGAAGATGACCTTCACGAAGATATGCTAGAACTACCACCGTCAAGGCCCGAAACTGAGTTGACGCAACTACTTTACTCCATCGTTCTCACAAGGTTGCGAAGCGTGCAGGCCAGAATTGTAGATCTCGTCAATGCTACATCGCTGCCACCGTACGGAGAGATCACCGAGATGGACGCCACACTAAGAGATGTCTTCGAAAAAATACCACAGTCGCCCACATCAAACACCTTCGACGATCCTAATACCGACTTATCACCAGACTTCATGCGCTACACGTATTTGAACGTAGCCTTCTTGAAGGCCGAGCTTATGTTGCATCGACCCTACTTCGTCCTCGGCCGAAGCGATAGCAGATATGCATATTCTCGCAGGGTCTGCTTGAACGCTGCTATAGAGATGCTTCGCTTTCAGAGCAAGCTTGACGCTGAGGTTCAACCAGGAGGTAGACTAACTTCACCAGGGTGGCGCCTCTCTACCTTGAGCTTGTACATGTCTTCCATCATTGCGCAAGACTTCTTACTCGCAACTACCGTCTTGGTAGTCGAACTTGATGAAGACCTCATTGCTCCTATCCCACCGGCTTCTGAGCCCATGGAAAGCGGGGTGCAATTGGACCATGCGTCCCCAACGCAAGAGGAAATCATCGCGTCGTTGCGCTCCGCTTATCAAATCTGGATCAGGGCTAGCAAAAGATCGCAGGAGGCACGGAAGGTTGCTACAGCCGTGAAGCTTGTTCTCTCTAAAGTTCACGGCAGTGGGGTACAGGCTACCGAATCGGCGCACGGTGAGCGGCACCTTATTTACTACCCGCTTACATCTACTAACGTCATCGAAAGCGGCTCACATAGGTGCCCAACCTGATTTGACTTCCCCATCCCAGATTTTCGACACGAACAATCTTGGATTTGCTGTTCCCGACTCGGATGCTTTCGACATGGGCAATAGTGCTTTTGGTCACCCGTTCGATTTTGGCTTCATGCCAATGGATCTGGACCAGTATACCTTACCTCTCGATTGGGTACGTTTAGCTCGGCTCATCAGGTGCTGTTGGACTAACCTATGATTAGGGTGATGCGTTTCCCAACCTCCAGCCGCAGCCTCTTGGACAATATCCCCCAGGATCGTTCTTCTAGCAGTAGCAAAGCTGCGCGTTCGAGTATTATACCAAGTCTCGGTCACTATTCGACAACCAAAAGGCTTTGGCAAATGTACCAGAGCGACGCGGTGTCATCGCTCAAGCATTATGTGGAGAGGTCGCGATCGTCGTTCCTAAAGTTCGGCGTTTCAGTCGCACTAGTGAAGCGCTCCCCGTTTCTGCGGGAGCTACCACCTCGCATTCGCGAACTTCACGACTGCTCTCAGTTCGGCACGACGCGCACTCCCAATGCGTGGGCCCGGCCATGCGCAAGTTGTTTGGATGTCGACGAAACATCTCAGACCCCATCCATCTGAAGCTGGTTGTTGCTCAATGCCACGCTTTGGCCACGTCCTGCGACGCCGAAACAGGAACGCTGATCGCCGAATTCGCACATCCATCGCGATCTGGCGACTAGCAGGCTGTTTGAAACCACCGGTCTATCCCCGCGCAAGGCTGCATGTGCCGTATCCGCGACGGTATATAGCAGGTCTATCATGCAACACTATGATCATGCGACAAGCCTACCACGTACATCCATGCTTCCCAGACATCGAGATTGAAGATTCCCGATAACCAGGAACAGTTGCGTCATGCTGCACGCATGTTGAAGCGCCTTACTTATCATCTCTGCGACAGTGCATAGGTCTTCTGTTATGGACATCATACACCCGTCCTTATGTACTGACATCCGTCAGCACTGTCAGTCTCGCCGCTAGTGCCTTTCAACCACACGGTGTGTCGATGAGCAAGATGGATCACATAGAGGAGACCTTCTACACGGGGAAAGAGATCGCAATCGAGCCTGATCTTGGAGACTTGCGGAAGTCTACCGACAAGGCCCTGCCGGCGCCGCCCAAGACACCAAAAAGGGTGTTGATGAAGTACCGGTTCTCTGCTATCCTTTCGATCGCATTCGCGGTCGCAAGCTTCGTCTTCACGCTGGTACTGGTACTGGCGGGGAGCGATGAGCACATGTTTGGTGGACAGTACATCGTGGCAGTACGTATACCGACCTCGGTGAAATGAAGACAAATGTTGACGAACCGCAGCTGAACACAACTACGATCGCTCGAGAGAGCTCTCAGTCAGAGGCAACATCGCAACGGTCGGAAGGCATGGACGGCGAGGCCCTAGCAGACGTCTACTATCTCTACCTCAGGACAGTTTGTTCAGGCTCTATTTCGGATGCTCAAGATGATGCTTCCGATATCGTTGTCGTAGAACTATGCGAAAGCTACAGCGAGGCCAGTGACAGTGAGTCACACAATTCCGAACGCGTTTGGGGTTTGACTGACCATACTTCTGTAGGGCTATTAACACTGACAACGCCAACTGACGGGTCTCAAGACCCACTCTCCCCAATCATCCTAGTATCAACACTCCTTAGGACTATGGCTACCGTATTGGCCGGCGTGCGATACACCGTCTTCGCTTCCTTACTCGTCTCGCTCGTCGGTGCTGGCTTCTCCGCCGTCTCCGCCATTCCAGCCATCATCTTTCCCCACTCAAAGCTTCTCGCCTACTTCAACATCTTCTGGCCATTCCTTGCGAGCGCATTCGCATTTGTCGCCGCCGTGTTGCTCACGGTGTTGATATCTGGGGTTTTCTCGGTGGCTGGTGACATCATCGACGTCGCTGGGGGGAAGCTGAATCAAGGTACATCCGTGCTTCTGATCGTATGGCTGGCATATGTACTAGTGTCGTTGTCGGTCGCTTACTGGGGCGTGGTATGGCTCGTGGAAGTCAGGCGATCAGGCCTCACCAGGAGAAAGAGAAGTGATGAAGAGGTCGGAAACTGGAAGAATATCGGGAAAGAGTTATGGAACGACGTAAAAGGAACGAAAGGATTATGATACCCCGCTCATATGTCGTACGCGGCACCTCGTAGCAAAAGCATTCAGGTTGACTGTGCGTTACATTCCTGAGTATCTCGTGCTATGGTGAACGTGCACACACCCGACTTGTGCCGGTGCTGATCGGTACTTGCTCGCATGTTTTCCAGCATATTCAGTCAGATCAGAGTCATGTGTCGAGAGTGTCCATCTTGGGGTGTGATCCAAGGCTCGTGCGGCGTGGAGAGTCACTTTCTGAGTTGTGTCAAAGCTCTGAGTTTCTTTGTGTCGAGTTGGCCCTCAACGGTACGCGCCAACGATTGGTTGTCACGGATACTCGCTTCCGTCAGAGTCATATCGACTTCTGTGGGGTGGCACAACGAAGGCTGGTAAGACCACGAGCCGCTCCTGAGTGTACTTAGAGATTGATTAGCCATACCTGACTCTACCGATTCAAAGTCATATCTGCTCACACTATGCTGCTCGCGCTGAGTAGAGTCACTCAACTTTCCAACTATAAAAGGCCTTCTCTGGTGCTTCATTACCTTTGCGCCACACAATTCAGCTTTCAACAGCACAGCAGTCGACTCAACAGCCACACATATCAACGATCAACAAATCAGCATCAACTACAGCAACTAACCCTGGACTTGCCACTTTCGAGGCTATCCACATCCAAATATGTCCACTTCGATGCTCCCGCCACCGTTACCGCTCAAGCAGGGCCTCTTGACAGCTAAAAGCCTTCATCACCGGTTCTGGCAATATGGTAATAGATACGGGCGTTACAAGACCACAGAAGAAATCGAAAGTGAGGAAAACCCCACCGAGTTCTGGATTGAAGGCTCCCCGAGGCGTGCCAACTACAAGCGCAGTGAGGAGGATGTTATAAGTCACTTCACTACTCTTCAATCTAAACGAAAAGAAGGGAAGTTGCCGGAATACGATCCTTACTGGGACAAAGAGCTCTTGAGTGACCTTACCAAGGCTGGGGGCACTATTCGCAACATCGTCACACTGGATCTTGGTAGTCTTTGCTACTGCGACGAATCAGACTTCGAAGGTATCGCGCGGGCACATCTGTTCGCTCGCAGTATTCTCAAAGTATTGTCCGACGCGGCAAACGAGGTGACAAGGTCGGGCAGCCTTGACCCGTTAGAAGGGGCTAGATTTATTTGTGAAGATGATCATTACGGAAAGGAGGATCTCAAGTACCTTGGAATGAGTTACCTGAGTGACGGAACGGAGGGATGGACCAATGGCGGTCGCATCCTGCAGAGAAACAGCAACGAGGGCGTAGGTTGGTCTTACCTTGAAGGAGGCAACGGCGACTACATCTTCATCACCTTCAACCCCAAGAATCCCATTCGCCAGCTTCTCGCCAATTTGCTCTACACAGCCGATGAATTAAAAGATAGTTCAACCTGGAGGACCGCGAAGCTTGCCAAGCCTCGCGCAATCATTTGTCGAGATCCAACAAAGGAAGGCATAGACGAGCGAGATCCAACCGATTACCGTGTCAGGAACTGGTTCAACATGCACTACGACCAAGTACACAAGTTTGATGAGGGTACCGGGAATAAGATATGGGGAGGAAACATCTATCTCTACACCTTGAAGGCTAAGGTTTAAGGCAATGCCCCTTCGGATTAGAGTGTACAAGGCTCAGCTTAGGTTCACATTGGGACTTCGGAAGGAAGGAATGATGTATTGATGGTGATAATATACCATGGTGTGGGACGGCTAATGCATAGCTTCTAAGGTTGTGTAATTAGATGCAGGCAGTCTATAGAATGACACTGTAGTAACATACTTGGTTCTCTCAATTTCGTGTTGAACCTCTAGGCATGGACGAGAATATTGAGGCACGATACTTGACTAGGGCGTGAGTTCGACCAGGTGTGAAAGAATGCTTATGGCTGTCACGATCATAGTGAAAGACCGTTAGAGAAATCTCATATACTATACATTCAACCCACTGTGTGTAGCGTACTGTAGGTTTCGAAAGTTTCAAGAGTCTCAAAAGAAGACTTCTAAACAGATATCTCTTGTGCAAGCGCTCTGTGGCTATGCTGACGCATATTTCATGCACGACAAATGTGGAGTGTGATGAGATCATATGTACAATGATATGCAGTCGCTGCCTTTGAAAGACACTTTCGCAACAAGAGCTGATAGGCAGTGATGCATGCCAAATCGAACATTGGTTGTACAAGATCTGAGCATCTGCTATGGCTACATTCCTCGCATGTTATGCCCAGAGATTGCATCATTGTGCGACGTTCTTCGAGTCGATTAGAACTACGCAACCACCTCAGATACCCGAAAATGGCACTTGCACGGTTGCCTGCAAGCGACATTCCTGTTACCAGAGCTGGACAGATCGCTTTGATGGCCAGGACTATAGCAAAAATCGCCTTGCATGAGTCAAGGTATTACTGCACTCCTGGATAGTGGCACCAGATGGTTCGTGGGCCATTTTAGCCGTCTTAGCATCTCGCGGAGGCGAGTTCTACGTTTCACTGAACAGTCATAAACGTGTAGATAGAACTGTAGTATTGAGCAATTGATATAGGAGTCATAGACTGGAAGATATAAAAGGCAGCTCTTCTACACTCCTTCTGTTACAACCACAGAATCGATACCTGTATACTCACGAAACAAGTTTAGCAATCCACCAAGACAGATCCATCATCATGCAAGCGCGACAGCCACCAGCAGCGTCAGCAGGAGCCGACCATTTTGCTCGAGCAGATAAGGCTACGATCAGGGATGCCCTCACACAGGTGCCTGACAACGAAGGCGGACCATGGAGAGATTACGACAAGGTCGCTCACGTCGGACACAAAGGTATAGGGCGGCACCCTACCACTGCAGAGCTCCCTCAGAGGAAAGAGCTCGTTCGAAAGGGAGACCTCGCTCCAGAGGAAGAGTTTTGGATCAAAGAAGCGCGCTCTAAAGCAGCTCACGACTGGGATGATGATGTAAAATATGTCAGAAACAATTGGCACGAGAATCTTGCCTACCCAGTACAAATCATTTTGACGAAGATCGGATACTCTCAGATGAAACGACCCGTCCCAGAACCGGACAAGCAACAGTGGGCATTGACGAACATAGTCAATCAAACACGAACAACCATCCGGAAAGCGGTATTCATGGATCTAGGTACGATATTCAAAGCCGAAGGAGGAAAGTTCGAGCAAGCCATCTGTACCCATCTCTTGGCACGCCATGTAGTTGTCGCTCTGCTCGGGAGAGCGAAATGTGACTATCCGTAAGTCTGACCCATGATTATAGATGTACACTAACGCGACATCTCAAGTCCGGATACTCGTCCGTTGGAGATCATCTTCGAGGATCCTTACTACTCGGAATCTGACATTAAATTTATACAAGAAGAGTTCATTATCGACCCTCTCGTCAAAGTCCGCGCGAGTAACGATGGAAGTGGATGGAACGAGACACGCGTTCGATTTGCACTGGATGAGAATGCGTACGCGTTTGTCACTTTCGGCATGAACACTCCGCCTCGACAAGTCCTCGCTGGACATACCTGGGGCGAGAGGGCACCTTACGCTGCACCCGGCGCTGCACCCGCAGATTGGCTGCCACCAAAAAGACCCAGTCTCGTCATCTGCCGACCCTGGTGGGAGGAATCTGGCTTTGATCAGAGCGATAGTCGCGTTGTAGATTGGCTGGAGAGGTATTATGACCCATGGGAACTGTTAGAAGGCGATGTTGAGGGCGTGGGCAATTCGTGGGCTTATGTTTTGCATACGAGCCACTGAAGACTGGTTGGAGTAGCCCCTAGTTCAACTAAGTAGATGGAAATGCAGATGACATAGCTGATGGAATGTTACTTCGGACGTATCTTCTACACGGAAGCTGGTGACCTCAGCGTGGCCTAAACTAGTGTTCTAGAAGGCAAGCTTAACGTTCCAAATCGAGCTTTGAGCATGGCTTCATTCCCCAGGTTGGTAGTTTGATGACTCAGAGTTACTGTGCGACACGTGCATTCATCTGTCTTTCGCTTCGCAAACCAGCACATGGTGCTTCGGCAAAGGACTCATTAGCGACAAGCTGTGATACCAGAGTTTGACGGATAAATGTAGGCAAAAAGGTTTACTGTAGTGATCATCTTGCATAGCTCGAAGTCTTACTGCGGCAAGATGGAGTTGGGGTCAAGAGAACATTGGGAAAGAAATAGGGATTAATCTTAAAGGGAAACAGTATGACATTAATAGGTAGTATCCATCAAAGTACCTGACCGCTCCGACTCTCCATTCCAAGCCAACAAATAGATACAAGAGTGCTAATAGTGCAACAATGTCTCCCCCATGATTGGCGCATCGCTATCCGTGATGATCGGGTTGTTCGTATACGTTCCAAGCCAGTCTACCACCCTTGAATTGCTGTGGTCTCTTTCCAATATGTCTGTTCCTTTTCTGCAGATGACTGCTATCGGCTTCTTGGGTGGCGTCTTACCAGCTCTCTCCGTCTGGAGAAAATCGGCCATCAACTCGCGGTAAGGATTGCTTGGCCTGAGAGTGATAAAGAGCGTTTCTCCGCTCTCGTGCAGTTTTGACCATCCTTCCCCACTAAAACCGACATGAGACTTAACGCGGTCGGAGAGGTTTGAGAATTGATCCGCGATGAAATTTGTATCCCGCTGGGTGTACCAGCCGTCTTCAAAATAGATATCAATTCCGGGGGCCTCTTTTCCCAGCTTGTTTCTGCGTTTGTGTTAGTTTTCGATACGGCCAAAGCCTTATTTCGTCTTACTCTTGTATATCAGCCGCAGACACGACAGCCTGGCATATTTCATAGACTAATAAGTGTTGCCTGATGTTCGCCTGAACGGTCCCTTGCTTGTGGAACATAGATCCGATACCTGCGACGAAAATGCGGCGTATGCCAGGAGTGATATCGACAAATTTGTTCCGCAGGTCCTCTTTGTTCACATGTCTGAACTCTCTATTCGTCACCTTCATATTGTCATGATCAAGCCATTGGGCCTGCACCTCTTGACTTGACGCCCAAAATTCGGCGTCGTCTGGTCGTGGGAGCCACTTTGTCCACACAACGTTTTCGTTTATCTCCTCTCCATTCGTAACCCGCTTTTGAAATTCCTCGTTCTTGGCCATTTCTTCGTACGTGCTGAAGAAAATCTCCCGCCGGTTCCGAGGGCAGCAGAGCAACTTCCTCCAAACCGGGTTGCCATTGTTCACATCGTGGATGTCTACGCCGGCGTCCTCCAGGCGTGTCGGCTTCGGAACTTGTAAATGACCCGGGTCTGTTGCACTCGCCATGATTACAGGTTCTGGTGATGTGTTCGTGGTAGTAGGTAGAATTCGAGAGGCTTGGTGGCTGATGAAGGAGATCAAGTACATAACTAGAAAACGGCCTTTTATACCTAGGCGTTACTCATAAACTCCACATTAGTCACAGACATCCAGCCGAGAGTTACCGATTCAGTGACCAACGACCTTGGAGTCATGTCTATCTTACCGCAGTGCACGATCAGGAGGTGGCCGCATCGGTGCTCATCTATGACATGAAGAGGTATGAGTGACTGGGCTTTCTCGTAAGCAAATACCCAACCCGCCCTCTTGTAGCCCCACGTATATGCGCCAGGACTACCAAGCAGACATGATTTCTTTGTCCTCGGAACGTCATACGACGCGAGGACCATCAAGCTAGAGCCATATGACAGCCAACGTGTCTGTTCAACATTTGGTGTCACAGAAACTGTCACACGGCATAACCAGTCATCGATTGGTAGGATTCTTGAAGAGTCATTAACATATGGGTGGACATTCAGGTTCAATTCCCTGGCTTCATCTTTCGAGTCGCCCAGCATCGGTATCATGAACATCGACCTAGGTATGTATAATAAGCTTCTGCGTACTTCAAAAATGTTTCATCGTTGACTCTCACAGTATTTTCCACTTGAATCTTGTAACGCGCATTTGTATATATATAACAGTCTCGCGCAGTTGCAACAACGGAGGCGGTCCACGTCGAAGTCGTGAGCGTTATCCGGTCTCAGTCTACGGCGGCACGAGCATACTGCGCACTTCTTCAGGCTGATGCGTACTATGCTGACGTCTAATATAAGTATGGCATAATTTGATGATATTGGTGATTATGAAAGCAGTGACGGAGGGGGGGGGGGGGGGGGGGGGGGGGGGGGGA